GTGTGTGATCAAATTATTATTATCAGTCACAAAAGTTTAAGTTTTTCAAATGTATTGTTCTGAAGCTATTTTCTTGTGGCATTGTAAATTAATTACTATTTATAACTGAAAATAAGCCACAATTAAAGATAAAAATACGTTTATTGACGTTTCAATTTATACTTCGGAAATCGTTCTCAAAATACAAACAGTAAATTAAACAAATTTTGTTTTTTGTTACATAGTGAAAAATTCTTCTAATAATTTAATTTTATCTGACTCATTTATATTGACAATTCAGACATACATTATGCATTTTAAAGTAGACGACTTTAAAATGATATTGCCAATATTGTTGAGTTGCGCTCCTGGGACGACTTTACTTATAAGATAGTTCATTCGATTACATGATAACTTGAGAATATCCGTCAGAAAAAATCATAGCATGTAATTCGTCTTTAAAAAGACAAACACATGACATGATGACAGTAAAATTCTCCTGTTAGTGATTCCATAGTAAATTATGAGGGAAAAACCAGGAAAAAAACCTCATAATACTATCCCGGCATTGTAAGTATTTGTTTGTGAATTTAGTTTACCTTCAACAAACATCAAAATTCTGATTTTGTATGTTATGTTATTTAAAAAACATAAATTATGTATCCTCTTTATGTTACTGACTTACTAATACTGGTATTTTCTTATTAATAACTTCCTCTTTCAATATTGGTAACCAGATCCTACTACATTCTGCCGAGGAATTTGCGACACAATTGGCCTCATTTAGCATAATTAGAGCCGCTTCTTTGATTTTTCTTTTTTTACCATCCGTTTCTTTTAGGACTATATTTGAATTATTCCATTGAACCCTATGTTTATTATTCCATGCGTGTTTACATATTTGAGATCTATCAAATTCTCTATTTTTAATATAAGATTGATGTTCACTTATTCTAACATTTAATGGCCTTGATGATTCACCCAAATAAAACTGATCGCATTCACAAGGTATTTTATAAATGTAATTCTTTGTCCTTTCTTGTTCATTGTTAGGTTTGGTTTTGGATAAAATAGATCTCAACGTGTTTGTTGTTTTGAATGTTGTTGAAATGTTGAATTTATTTCCTATCCTTTTAAGTTTTTTTGATAATCCTTTTATGTACGGTATTGTTATTTTCCTCATATTATTCCTTGTGTAATGCTGTAGGATCTCGTTCTAAGTTGTTCTGTTCTATTCGATTTATGGAAGATTTTGAAACAAATATCATTTCTAAACAAAATTTCAAACCCACAGTATGGTGGAGGTATGTAGATGATGTATTCTCAATATGGCCTCATGGATCAGAGTTGTTGGACACATTCCTAAACGATATGAACGATAAAGAAGAGACAATAACATTTACTATGGAAAAGGAATCTAATAACACGCTACCTTTCCTGGATGTTTTAATCTCTAAGAACGATACTGGATATGTGACTCAGGTGTATAGAAAAATCAGATTAGACAAAATCAGAAAAATCAGAAAAATCAGATCAAAATAGACAAATCAATAGATATTTAAATCTCAAATCAAATCACAATATTAATGTAAAAAAGGGAATAATTAAATCCTTATACGATAGAGCCAAAATTACTTGTTCTAACGAAAATTCGTTCTTGGAGGAGAAACATTTGTTAACATCTGTTTTATTAAAAAATGATTATCCTTTATCGTTTATAAATAAGGAATTTTCAACAATCTATCGAATAGAACAGAACAACTTAGAACGAGATCCTACAGCATACACAAGGAATAATATGAGGAAAATAACAATACCGTACATAAAAGGATTATCAGAAAAACTTAAAAGGATAGGAAATAAATTCAACATTTCAACAACATTCAAAACAACAAACACGTTGAGATCTATTTTGTCCAAAACCAAACCTAACAATGAACAAGAGAGGACAAAGAATTGCATTTATAAAATACCTTGTGAATGCGATCAGTTTTATTTAGGTGAATCATCAAGGCCATTAAATGTTAGAATAAGTGAACATCAATCTTATATTAAAAATAGAGAATTTGATGGATCTGAAATATGTAAAAACGCATGGGATAATGAACATAGGGTTCAATGGAATAATTCAAATATAGTCCTAAAAGAAACGGATGGTAAAAAAAGAAAAATCAAAGAGGCGGTTCTAATTATGCTAAATGAGGCCAATTGTGTCGCAAATTCCTCGGCAGAATGTAGTAGGATCTGGTTACCAATATTGAAAGAGGAAGTTATTAATAAGAAAATACCAGTATTAGTAAGTCAGTAACATATAGAGGATACATAATTTATGTTTTTTAGATAACATAACATACAAAATCAGAATTTTGATGTTTGTTGAAGGTAAACTAAATTCACAAACAAATACTTACAATGCCGGGATAGTATTATGAGGTTTTTTTCCTGGTTTTTTCCTCATAATTTACTATGGAATCACTAACAGGAGAATTTTACTGTCATCATGTCATGTTGTCTTTTTAAAGACGAATTACATGCTATGATTTTTTCTGACGGATATTCTCAAGTTAAAGTTGATTTCATGTAATCGAATGAACTATCTTATAAGTAAAGTCGTCCCAGGAGCGCAACTCAACAATATTTGCAATATTATTTTAAAGTCGTCTACTTTAAAATGCATAATGTATGTCTGAATTGTCAATATAAATGAGTCAGATAAAATTAAATTATTAGAAGAATTTTTTTCACTATGTAACAAAAACAAAATTTGTTTAATTTACTGTTTATATTTTGAGAACGATTTCCGAATTGGAAATTGAAACGTCAATAAACGTATTTTTATCTTTAATTGTGGCTTATTCCCAGTTATAAATAGTAATTTTTCAAATGTGTTCTAAAATTTTATAATAAAATTATATGCTGCTATACGATTAAGGCACAGAATAAATATAACAATGTTTATTATTTCGTGATTAAGGTATGCCAATATATTTTGTCACTAATAACCTTCCTTTTTTGACGTTTACAGCTCTAGAACTGTCATTTGTGTCAAATTACGTGACAACATACACATTGTGATGAATTTGCGCTTGGACTTTACAACTGAATTTGTATGTTTTTGTATTGTTTTGAAAGATTAGTATCGTTTTATCTTTGTAGTATGTTTTAATAATGTATTAGTGGTGATTGTGAGTGAAAAAAACTATTAGTTTTAATTTTAAAGACATTTTCAAAACATTTCGATTTTTGATAAGAAAATCATAATGGTTAAGGGTAAAGACGTCCCTTTGTCTAAAATGGTGGAAATTAAAACACCTTTATTGAATACAAAGTTGTCTTAACGTCAGATAGCTCAACAATGCCAAGTACCGCAAGCAACATTGAGCAATTTCAAGAAAAAATGGATACCAACAAACCCCTGACTCACCAGCGTGCCGAAAAATGTCGTCGAAAGCTTATCACTACACCCAGAGATGAAAAAAAATGAGGGATATCTTCGTAAACAATAGAAAGAAGCCAAGAAAAATCCTCACGGGACTTATTCGTGAAGCTGGGATGCCAGTTTCTAACATAACAGTCCGCAGAAGGCTTGCTGAGTAAGGTTTCAAATTATGTCGCCCTTCCAAAAAAAAAAGTTGATCATTACAATGATAAAAAAGAGACTGGAATGGGCCAAAGAAAACCAAAATTGGACAATTGAGGACTATAATAAGGTAAATTACGTCACTACCAAAGTTTAAATCCCCATAACCACTGTTTTTACCCTAAAAACAATCTTATAGTTATTTTTATTCACAGATTTGTTTCACCGATGAGTCTACAGTGAAGATACTTATAAATAAGTCGGCCTTCGTCCGAAGGCGAGTGGGTGAAAAATATCACAAGGATTACATAGTGGAGCGAGTAAAACATCCTCTCAAGATCATGGTATGGTCTGTGATCAGCGATAAGTGCACAGGGAAAGTGTACATTGTGAATGGAATGATGAATCAACTTCAGTATATTGAAGTTCTGGAAAGAAAGCTCATGCTAAAAATCAAAGACTGGTTTGGCGAATCGGAGGATTTTACCTTTATGCACAATTCAGCACCATGCCGTAAGGCAAAAACAGTAACATCATCATTTCTGGAAAAAAAGAAAATTAAAGTACTGAAGTGGCCAGGCAATTCCCCAGACCTCAATCCGTTCGAAAATCTATGCGTGCTTATGAAGAGGGAGATTACCCACACCCAAAAAAACTGTCACAAATAAGCAGCAGTTAATTAAGAGACTCATTGCCACCTGGCAAAGAAACGATAAAATAAAAGAAGACTGTCTGAGAAACATTAAAATCATACCAAGGATCAAAGCTGTCATCAAAGCTTAAGGAGGTCACACAAAATATTTAAAAACATTGTTATTTAAGGTCAAAGAAAACATATTTTAAAATTTTGTAAAAGGACGTTTTATGATCTATTTCTTTATTATATTCACATCATTAGACGCTTATATGCAGTTTTATTCGTTATTTAACAGCAAAATACAAAGTTTTTGAAAGTGATCATAATAATTAGATCACCCACTGTAAGGTCGACAAAGTCATGAAACAGACCTTCACACTACATAAGAAGTACTATGTTAGGGAAGGTAACCTCAAAGGTCTTTCATTCTCACTGCCACCTCTTTATTGGATTAGGCAGCTGCACGTGGCCAGACATGGACAAAAATGATGTTCAACGGTAAATATAATGTACGTTTCAAAAGAACAGACGAATGGAGAGGAGTCGTATGTGTTCAGGAGGACACCTAAAAATGATTTACTGGTGGATTAAAAATGGAAAATGATGTGTGGTTAAAAGTGGTGAAGCAAAGGCCAGATAGTCAACCGCATTAAAAGCATTGTAAAGTAATAACTTCAGATCAAAAATTCTATTCAATCCTTAACCAGCTGGCAGACTGAACTTTTTTGGGTGCTAAATCATGAAGAAATATCAGGCAATAAGCAAGCAGATCGGCAAACAAAATTTGGGACAACCAAACCTTTTCTATGCGATACAAGGCAGAATGACTTCTTTGAATTCCATAAACTGCAATCTAGTTGATTTATGCACAAATAATCAAAAAAAATAGTAAGTGATTTAAAAGACTCACCTTATATTGAAACAATAAATTGTTATTATGGGTATCTCCATGTAATATAATTGCTTCTTGGGGATTATCATTTATAATACGTTGTAAAATATCAACAATATCTAATTTTTTTAGGTTTTCAACTTTTTCTGCCTGGGTATGTTTTCCATAAGACTGGAATTTTTCTATAAGTTTATCTAGCCGATTATTAAATGAATCTCTGTACATGTCTATGCTTCTTCCCAACAGTGAGCTGTAATTTTCTGTAAGTTTGGCAAACTCTTGGTATTTCTGAGCTTTTAGGGCAAAAGAAATGGAGTGTAACTTTGCGAGGCTTGTTAAGACCATTTTTATGTGACTTACATTCATGGGTAGACGTCTGTTAAACAGTTGATACCCTTTTCGTTTTATGTCTTCCAGAACAATTACTTCTTCAGTGTTACTAAGAAGCGTTTTGTAGCATTTTGGTATCGAAAGAAAGTCCTCACTTATGTTCTTCTCGTGTAGAAATCGTTGATAGGATGACACCACATTTCTGTAGAAGTAAATTTCTCGTTTACAACAGTCGGTTACTATTGGAGCTTTAGTTGGAAGATTCAGGCGTCCTATTTTAATAAAAAGATACAATACTTCGTCATTTTCCAGTATAACCTCAGCTAACAACGTGTCAGCCATGAATCCTTCCAAATTGTCTTCTCTTTCTTTAAAGTTGACTTTTAAATTGGAGGTTCCAATGGATTCCTGTATCCAAAGTAACGCCTGTTTAATTTGTAGTTCACTTAACATTGTATTAAACGATTCAATTGTCACGAATGTGGAACCGTTAACTAACGCGTGTGAAATATTTCGTTAGTATTTTACTGATAAGTTATCTATTGTTTGAGAAACATTGACAATGAATTAATTTTTACTCAAATAGTAAAACTTGGTATTTGTTTTGACTAAAGTCAGAAGTCACTAGGCACAAATTAATTCAAAATAAGCACAAATATTTACAAAATCAAATAAATATTTTAGAAATAAGCAAGGTCCAAGAAAAAAATTACTAATAGCCAGTAATTAAACAATATTTAGAAAGTTAATTTTATACCGAAATACTATATTATATTTAAAAACACACAATTAACAGTAACACGTTTCTAAAAATGTTTCTATACTAAAGTAAGTTCAAGGTCAAGTTACCGCTGGAAACGCGCGTCTGTTCTGGTCGGGACTAGTAAATTAAGTAAGAGGCAGAGGCTACATCAGCGCGCCATCAATATTAATTCGAGTAATAGTAGCCGTATTTTGAAAGTTCTACGAATCTTTGGCAACAGTGCGCCGGCAGTACGTGACAAAAAAGGAAGGTACAATATTGTGATAATTAAAGTTCAGATCGGATTTAAAAACATAAATCAACGCAAAAATAGCATAAAAATTTTATGAAAATATTTTATTATTTATTTATTATACCAAAAAGCATAAACATATGCATATACATTTTAACAAACTTTTTTTACTAAAATTAGTATAAAACACATTAGCTTAAAAATTAGTAAGTCTATCTCTCTATCTAATTAGCCTTCTTCGGTCCATCTTTGGACATAGGCCTCCCCAATGTCGCTACAGTCATCCACCTATGGCCCACGTGCTTCTTGATATCATCTGCCCATCTCATTTGGGGCCTTCCTCTGCTTCGTTTATATTCCCACGGTCTCCAACTTATAAGAATTTTGTTCCATCGGTCTTCTTTTTGTCTTATATTGTGTCCGGCAAATCTCCATTTCAATTTTGCATCTTCTTGTCTAACATCCCTTACTTTTGTTTTCTCTCTTATCCACTCGTTTCTCTTTTTATCCATTAGTCTTATGTGCAACATTTGTCTTTCCATTGCTCTTTGGGTTTTTATGATTTTGTCCATGTTTGCTTTTGTAAATGTCACGTTTGGGAACCATGTTACTTAGCGTTACTTTGGTGTTAATCCTGAGCTATCATCGTGTATTTACACCCACATAACTACTATCGTGGCGTCATAGATGACCCGAATTTTAAAAACCTCTAAACAAGATATAAAAATATATTTTTTATTGTTTTTGTATTTTTGACAAATGAATGTGTATATAAAAAAGAGATTTTTTGTAAACTTAAATTTTATTTCAAGAAAATTAAGATGCTATAATAAAAATTATAGAACTTTTAAAATAAATTTTGATCAAAAACATAACTCATTATTATAACAAAAAAAAAAAATATATCTTAAATTGAAATTAACGGTTCATTTTCTGAAAAGTAGTTTATAATAGTAACGTCTTAACCTAATACAAAAGAAAATCATAATAGAGTAACCATATAAAAAAATAAGTCATGTTTTTTTTCTTAATGTTAGAATCTTGCGACAAAAATATTTGAACAAATTGTAAGTGTTTATCTATTCTTTGCACATAGTACAGGTAACTCTCTGAAGTGAATCTGTTTTGCAGATGGTCCTATGACATTCTTCGCAAAATGTGGAAAGTTTGTTATCCTTACCTCTGGGACACAAGTAGCATCTACGTCTTACAACTGGCCTTTCTGGTTTGGTCTGATCTTGATAAGTAATTTTATTTTCTAATGCTTTGAAAATTATCGAATTATCGTAATTCTCTTGACAAATTTGGCATTGCAAATCTTACTTCTAAATGTTCATTTATAAGACTGATTCCCAGCTCTTGAATAAAATCCGATCGATTTTTTCTAACCCCAGGATTAGCTGCGTGAAAAATAATGTGACTGTTTACTATAGCAATATCCATTATGGAATATCAAATTACTAAAGGCCATCGCTGGCATCTTCGACCTAAACGATAAAGTGCACATTTTTGATCAAGTGCATCAACGCTCCCTTTCGACGAATTGTAGAAAGCTATTATGTTTAATGATTAAACTTGAAAGATCGCTGGTTAAATTGTATTGGATAAATAATTTTTAACGAAAAAATGCAATATTAGATTGTATATAAGATTAGCGAAAATAGCGAATATTTGTAGCAAATATATGTAAAATAAAATGAATTCAAATAACAATTGGCAGATTTTATATCTTATTGTCAATTCTATATGAGATTCACTTACCTTTTTTTTGTCTATGGTCGGCCCGGCTGGGGTTGGCGTGAGATACACTGCTGTGGTGATCTGCTTGTTGCTTGCTTCCGTACAGGACCAGAGTTTTTTGAAGAGTGGTCGATCATATGCAAAGGGGCACGTATCTATTACCCCAAATCGACTAGAGGGTACTGTTTTTAGAGACCTCCGTGAATAGCCGTAAATTAAACTTAAAGTGACATTCTTTACTTGCTACACAAAGGCGGATAGGAATCTGAAGTGTTTTGGGTTGATATATGTTTCCCAAAAACATGTTGAATTTTAGACAAGTGAATTCTCAGAACTTGACAATAATTAATCAGCCAATTTGAGTTCGAGAATTTAAAAATAAACTAAAGCCATATTGCAATTAGGTAATATATTATGATTAAATAAATTTTAAAACTAAATAAGGTCATACTCGTAATAATAAAAATAAAATATTTAAATTACTTGACACTTTTCCAAACATTCTCCGCCCCAAAACGAATGTTTTTTAAGAATCAACTACAATAATAAGAATAAAAACGAACACTAAATTATAATAATAATAGAAATGAAGAAAGATATAGTTGTTAACAAATAGGTAGTGGACAGATCTTGACCACCGGACGTTGTAGGATGCCATCTGAAGCTGTCCTCAGAGTAACAACCCGTACAATACCGTCGGTGCCATAATGCAACTCAATGATTCTGGCCAACTGCCAGCGAAGAGGAGGCTGTTGTTCATTTTTTATCAGGACTAGCGAACCTTTAACGAGAGATGGGGTTGGACTATGCCATTTAGATCGCTCTTGAAGAGAATGAATATACTCTTTAGACCATCTTTTCCAAAAATCCCCCTTTATCCTTTGAATTAACTGCCAACGATTCAGACGGTTAATCTTTAAAGCGCTTAGATCTGGATCGGGAATTGAATCCACTAAGGGTTCAAAAATCAAAAAATGACCAGGAGTCAGTGCCTGCAAATCATTAGGGTCAGAGCTTGCTGCACACAAAGGACGAGAATTAAGAACTGCCTCGATTTGAGTCATAAGAGTATAGAACTCCTCATAAGTCAAAATTTGTGTACCCAAAACACGATACATATGGTTCTTGAATGATTTGACGCCAGCCTCGGCTAACCCATTAAAATGAGGGGCACCGGGCGGATTAAAATCCCAGGTAATAGAAAGAGTCTCAGCAGCAGATCGAGCTAGTTTTATGATTTCGTTGCTGGCTCCCTTAAAATTGGTACCTTGATCACTCCTAATAGTTAGGCACTTACCGCGTCGAGATACAAATCTACGAAAGGCAGCTAAAAAGGACTCAGAACTAAGATTTGAAGTTACTTCCAGATGAATGGCTTTTGTACTCGTACACACGAATACACAAACATATCCTTTGTATGTTTTTGCACCTCTATGTTTGGACATTAATAACGAGAATGGTCCTGCAAAATCCACACAAACAGACAGGAAAGCACGTAACGGAGTAACTCGGACAGTTGGCAAGTTTGCCATAAAGGGGTTGTAAGATTTAGGTCGGCATCTAAAACAACGAATGCACTTCGACAAACAGCGGTGAATGGCACTTTTCGGAGACAGAATCCAAAAGCGCTGAAGTAATAAATAATGCATAGCCTTTAAACCAGGGTGCAGATGAGTTTGATGAGTCCACTCGATGATTAAATCGGTCAAACGATGAGTTTTCGGTAATAGCAATGGATGTTTTACATCAAAAGACAACTTAGACTTTTGTAATCGACCTCCTACTCTCAAAAGACCATATTCATCAATAAAGGGTGCGAGTTTACGAAAAGGTTTGGGTAACAGCGAATTTTGTTGAATTTTGAGAAAAATATCCGAAAAAACGTCAGCTTGTACATGCTTAACAATGTATCGTAACGCAGATTCCATCTCTAAATGACTGTTCAGGGAATCTGAAGAGGCAGCATTGTTTTTTCTTTGAAGTTTAGCCACGAATTTTAAGACGTAAACCATGACTTTCTGAATTTTTATCAGGGACGAAAATTTTGAAAGTAAAGTAGAGATGATATTATCCGAAATGACCGGTATCAATGATAATACAGTGGGCAATTTTTCTTCTAACATTTCCGTGGGATGGGAGGTGTGAAAATTAACCTGAGAGGGCCAGCACTCGCTTGACTTTGAAAGAAAATCAGGACCCCGCCACCAGAGGGAAAATTGTAGTAGTTGTGTCGGTGTCAAACCCCGACTAGCACAATCAGCAGGGTTTTGATTAGATGGCACGTAATGCCAAGAAGAACATGGTATAAGTTCTTGTATGTGCCTTACCCGATTGGCAATAAAGGTTTTCCATTTATGCGGAGAAGAATTAATCCAGGTAAGAGCAATCGTGGAATCCGACCAAACATGAATATCGGAAAAAGAAAAGATATGCTTAAACGACTCTTTAATGAAGGCGACTAGATCCGCCAGCAATACAGCTGCCAACAGTTCCAATCTTGCAATAGATTGTGTCTTCAGAGGAGACACTCGACATTTAGCACACACAAGTACAGTCTCAAATGTGTCAGAAGTATTAAATCGGAAATATACAACGCTGGCGTATCCTAACTCTGAAGCATCGCAGAATCCATGAATCTCGACTTTAGAAGATTTATTAAAGCCGAAGTGTCGAGGGATTTGAATGTTCGCAAGGTCAGGTAACTCGATTTTAAACTGATGCCATACCTGTTGTATTTGTTCAGGTGGTTCATCATCCCAAGATACATTGGATTGCCATAACTGTTGCAGCAGACGTTTGGCCTTTAAAAGACACGGGGAGATGAAACCAAGAGGATCAAAAATACGACTGATTTCCGAAAGAATAGCCCGCTTTGTACAAGTTTTGTCAAGGGGACAGTAAGAATAAGAAAAGACGTCAGTCGACGGGTCCCATTTCAGGCCTAGCACCTTAATAACGGAAGTTTCCTCTTTGTCAAATGAACAAGATGTCAGAATATCCGAACCAAAATCTTGGAGTAGACTGGGATGGTTGCTGGCCCATTTGCCTAGTTCAAAACCACCAAGCTTTAAAAGTTGAATGAGCTCTAACTGTAGAGAGCGGGTAGATGACAGAGAATCACTTCCTAATAGACCATC